GGAGGGAAGGGAGCAGAGAAAACTGCAGAGCTCAATAAAAATCAATAATAAAAAAAAAGAGGTTCTGTCTCAAGACATAAAGGTGGAAAACAACCAAAGAAGACACCCAACATTGACATCTGGCATTCATATGCACATACACACATGTGTACCTGAACACACACACACACACACACATACACATCACATGCACACATAAATATCACACACACACATGAACATCTCCCTCATACACATGAACATCTACCTCACACACATACACACATATACATCACAGATACACACACACACACACACACACACACACACATCCCCTTCACACATCCACCCCAGGGGTATTCTGGTGAAAACCAAAGGAGATCTGGAGTACCCAGAGGACAACAGTCCTGTGGGCAGGCCCTTCCTGGGCTATGAGAGAATGTCTTGAGCGATAGGAACGGACAAACAAGTTTGGGGCCACACTGAAGGAGGCTTGAGGGCTGACCTGCTTAAGGAAGACAGCTCAAGACCTATTATGACATTTGGGTGGGTCAGAGGCAGGGAGGCAGCTTGGCAGTGGTTATACGGCTGAGCACGTAGGCCCTGCACTGTAGACTTAAGGTCTGTGTACTTTACTATATGCAAATGGTCACCCCTAGAGTACTAAAGAAAGAGATAGTGCCTGCTTGTTCCACAGCAAGGGTCAGAGAGGACAGACAGACAGACAGCAGAAGGCCTCCCTACCCCTGCTTAGCTTCTTTCTTTGTCCTGGTAGACAAAATCTTAAACTGCGTCAAATTCTATGACACCTTCCCTAACTTACCCACTCCTCTCTAGACACAACAAGCCCCTCCTCCCTTCTCCAGTGTATAACTTGTTTCCACTTCCTGAGGAGGACCGAGAGCCGGGATGCCAGGACCACAGGAGGTTAATGCTGAGGAGCAAGCCATAAAGGAGGTCCGCCTCACACACACACACACACACACACACACACACACAGAGGTGAGGTGGGGAGAGAATCAGAAATCATACCATCCTGATTTCGTGGAGGGTATATATATATATATATATATATATATATATATATGTATGACCCCACAGTATGACCCCACAGATGCTCACTCAAACAGCAGTGGTATATTACTTCTGATTAAAGAAATTATAAGTTTTTTTAAAAATGTGCTTTACTTTCTATATTTTAAAATGAATGAATATGCACTAATTTTTCTATTCTGAAGAAAATGCAGACTCGTATCACCACCCCAAGACTCCTCACTGCTCCTAACTGAGCTTTGGTTTGCTTGTTTCACCAAAAGCAAACACTTCTTGAATCGCTAGGTAAATATTGATGTGTTGCTAAGTAAACAGGAGGTACCGCATCCCACCAAAGTAGCCGCCCCTCTAGACATCACAGAACTCATTTGCGATGTGCCTTTGGGTCAATTATTTTAAAATCAGACTTAAAAGCTGACTATAATGCTAAGAAAAGGAAAAAGCACTCTTTCCTTTACTTTGACTATTCACGGCTCATCATCTTGTTTCCTCTCTGGGCGCAGCAAGAGGCTCAGTCTGGTTTTGCAAGGGAAGTCATAATAAGCAGCTGCCTGCCTGAGTCGGCTACTGGGCGACTCACTGTGAATCAGCGACCTGAACCTTTCAGCAGAGGCGAGTGTTTGAGGAGCCTGGAGACAGCTTCCTCCCAGGAAAAACACTTCAAAGTCCCAGGAGAAGTTTTTACCCACAATAGCCATTTCCTACCCTCAGCTTCAAACACAAGTGAAGCCATTCCGGAAATGTGACTCTGAGAAAGACCTTAGAGGACAGTGGCTTCCACCAGAGAGACAGAAATAGATGTGCAGGAACTGAAGGCCACCTGGTGGGGGAAACCCTGCTAACAGCCCTCCTGTGGGCTAGCCTCTAGCTGTTCTGTGCTTTTCCCTGTACCCTGAGAACACTCCTTGTCCACCTCTGTCCAGGGATAAGAAGGGAACCCACTTTAGACACTGTAGTCTGCCTTAGGTGCCCTCGCTGCCACGCCCAGCTTCCCCATCCTTAAAATGACAGGAAAAATGAGTTTGGCCTCCAAGTCATTAAGAGGATTAGCTGAGCACAGTGCCACACGCCTTTAATCCCAGCACTCAGGAGGCAGAGGCAGGTGGATCTCTGTGCAATAGAGGCCAGCCTTGTCTAAAGAAAAGTTTCAGGACAATCAGGGCTACATAGTAAAACCTTGTCTAGGAACAAATAGAGGATTTGGTGGCAGAACGTATCCTAGGGCTGTTAAATGTAAAACGCAGGGACGGGCACCAAAGAGAGGGTGTGAGGACAGTTTGCTGGCACCACACGAACACGTACCAGACTCTAACCGTAAATAAGACAATGGGTAAAAACAAAAACCTATGGGGGGACAGAATCCTTTTGTCCCATTCGCGTTAGAGGGGGCTTGTGTGCTTGTAATTCCACTGCTTAAATACTATCCCAACTTGCTCGGGGCGAGCTGGCTCTGTAACCAGGGAAAGCTCTCAGAAGCAGATGCTCCCTGGAGAACTTGTCTTTCACGCCCACCTTTTCAAGCTACCCCTAAGTCCTAAGCAAGCATAGCTCTGCCTTTAGCCTGGGCCTCAGCAGCCTCCTCACCTAGGCCATGTTGGAAGAAAGCCTGGAGACTGGTCAGTGGCTGGGGGACATTGTGTGGGTGCCACTGGCTCAGGCTGATGACCCATAAGGATGGAGGGGGCACTCGAGCACCCCGGAAGTGAGAGCCGGCCATCTGAGTAGCAGTCACCAGGTCAAAACCACAGGCTCATGTAGGAAGACAAGCCAGGAAATGAAGAACACAGAGGAAGACTATAGAACTTAGTGTTTCTGGGTCCATCTTCAAAGGAAATTAAGAGAGTTAAGTCCTGCCATAAGCAGCTCTTATTCTCGCTTTGAACAGCAGTACAGAATAAAAAATTAATAGTATTTTTCCAGAGCCTGAGCAAAAGCGGTGTTCCCATCGATCCTCCCTCGGAATCCTTAGTACAAATTTTATGCTTGTCTGCATATAAACTTACACAGTTTTAAGCACTTGGGTGCTATGGTTTTGAAAGGGAGGAGTTCTCCCCCCCCAGGCTCCCCACATAGTAGCACTGTTCTGGCAGGCGGTGGAACCTTTTGGACACGAGTTCTAGATGGCAGTCTTAGGGCCATCGGAGTGGCTTGAGCCCACGCTCTGGCTTCCCGACTGCAGATACCAGCCACCTCATGCTACTGCTCCAGCCTCAAGCTGTTCCCACCCCCATGCCTTCCTCACCGAGATGGACTGCACCCTCTCAAACTGTGGGGCTCAATAAAACTTCTCCCTAAATTGCTTCCAGTCAAGGTATTTGAGGACAACATGAAAATTCAGCAATACACTGGGGTTTTTGTTTGTTTGTTGTTGTTGTTGTTGTGTGTGCATTTGTTTCTTTAAGACTGCCCTGGCTGTCCTGGAACTCACTCTGTAGACCAGGCTGGTCTCGAGATTAAAGCCATGTGCAACCCCCTGGCATAAATTTGGTTTTCAAAAGTTCTCTGCAAATGAGAAGACTGAGGAACTGGGTTTGGTGGTTCAAGTGAATCTGAAAGCCATTGTAAATGTCACTAGCTAGTGTAGATTAGTAAGGTATCCAAGGGAAATATAGGAGAAATATTGAAAATACAAGGTAAAATGCTAGACAATTTTCAATACACAGGTACTGTGCATTCCCTTGACAGAAAAGATTTTAACGGCAAACATCATGTAATAAGAACACCATACCCTATATGGCTCCTGGGGTGTGGGCTCTACTGTGACGGACAGTTCCTCACACGGGCAGTTTCAAACATAATTATGAAACTGATGTTGTACACACATCCTCCAACGAGCATCAAGCCACATCTCTCTACATCTAGAGCCATAGCAGCATAGTTCTGGCTATCAGACACTGCACTGGAGACCCTCCCAAACACCCAAGGGCCACATGGAAGGTCCTCCCCACCATGACTACTAGCCTCTGAAAAATCAACCAAACGACAAGACTTCACAAGGCAAGAACTCTCAGATGCCTGTTGCCCTGTGACTACTCCTTGGAGTCGAACATGCACTCAGTCAACCAACTCCCTGGAAGAGGGTGGAGGAAGGAGCTTCTGCCCTGTCTATCAAGTTTTAGAAACCTGCCAGGCATGTGCTGAGGACACCTCTCTGCACAGCCACAGCACAGCCTTGAGGCACTGGGGCGGAGGGGATGAATGGGGCAAGCTGTGGGACGTGCGGAGGGAGGGAGTTGGTCAGACTAAAAAGGAAGACATGGAACGCTTCCGCTTCTGGCTTGGTTGAGCCCCTAAAGAAGCCCCCGTTAATCTGAAGACATCGGTGGGAAATGTAACAATGCATCTCTTGGAGACGGGTGGTGAATCCCGATTGATCCCAGCTTCCATTCATCCCACGACCACGGTTTCCTCTCTCGGAGGCATGCCACCCCCATCCAAAGGGATCAGAGGAAGCACTCAAGTGTGTTCTTTTGCCCAGTGCTCTAGACACTTTTAAATGTCCAGGGGTTAAGAGGACCCCACGACAAGGCCTCTGTGGGGATGGCTTCTCTGTCCTTAGAGTGGCAAGGGTTAAAATATTACCAAAGGTTTCATATCTACCTAAAAATGTCTAATGTTTTCTGAAAAGTCCTTGTCATAGACGATGATGGCACCATGCTGTGAAGGACAGGATGTTTCTAAGCCAGAAAGATATGAGCCTTTCTCCCACCATTTGTTAAACACTAGCTGACTACCGAGACTTTTTCTAACACCAACGAGGCCATTTTCCATCCATGCTCTACAGGTACAATACGAGATCCACTGTTTACTTGCTTGCTTTGTGGTTTTGAGCCTAGAACCCAGGATGTCACGCAAGCCAAGCAAAGTCCACTCCCGATAAGCAACATCCTCCGGCTGGCAAGATTCTTTGAACATCACACAAAGCCAAACAGAACAACAGGTAGGAACAGGCGGGGCAGTGGACTCACTCTTTGGTCAGAAGAGGACAGGATTTGAGCAGGAAGCGTGAGAGCCCGGAGTCCTGGAAGTAGAGGTCAGGAGGGGCAGTGGGACTCTTCAGGTTCAAACACCGCACAATGACGTAGAGAACAGCAGCCACGGCAGCCAGCTTCACCCCGTCAAACACGGCGGGGAGCTCGGGGGTCTCCAGCATGGCATTCATCTTGCTCTAGAAAGCAAAGGCACACAGATCTGGGCTCACAAGCATGGCCAAGGCAAGGAGGGTGGAGCCCACCTCATCGCAGAGGAATGACCCCACTCCAGATGCATTTCGCACATGCCCACAGGGTGCTCCACAGACCCCCACCCATCATTATCGCCTGACAACCCCGACGCCCAGCCAACACCCCCAACCACAGAAATGGCTGAGTGTTGACTGAGGGGGGCACTATGTTCTTCCTGTAATCTCACAAGCAGTTCCAGGATGAACAAATAGGAAAATGGACAGTCAGAGTCTTCCTGATAGCGGAGACAGTAAGGTGCATTGCGGTAGTTCTTTGATGTCTGTGGGGAAGTCACTTAACTCTCGTGGACTTAATGACACCCTGAGCACCAGGTGTGTCAAGTGATGCTTCCAGCCTTGACCAGCAACACGGGGCTGTGGATGCCGCCAGGTAAAGCTGTACCGCGTGCTGGCTCCACTTTTCTACTTTCAGGGCGGGCTGAAAGCAAGCTGCCTAGGCCTAGCTCCGCCATTTGCTCCACTGAGTCCCTGGCTCTAGAATTCTGAGTCTTGGCCCAGGTCATGGTGGCCCCGGCTCCTGAGGCTTCTGAACAACGTGAAATGGAGCTAGTCAATTAAAACATCTTTTCCCCCTCCTGGAGGTACCTGAAGGCAGCGATCGGTCCAAAATTGGGCCAACGACAGACCAAATACAACCGCTAGACCAAAATTTCAGGATGCAGGACAGAAAATACACATGCAGATCTAATTTCCCACAAGGTGTCTTCATACTTCACCTTCTGAGGTAAGCATTCCCTTACATACAAAGTATACGTACACCACTTCAAACACATAAAACTGAACATCAACAACAAAATCTAGTCTTCCTTGCTGCTCTACAGAATAAGAGAACAGCAGCTGTGTGTGGCCTTAAGGTTGGGTAACAAGCCAGGCATGGTGAAGCACAACTGTAATCCTAGAACTTGGGGGGGGGTTAGTGGCACAAGGATCAGGAGTTCAAGGCCAGCCTAAGCCATGACACCCTGTCTCACAATGAAATGGGGCGGGTTGGGGGGGTGGCTAGCACAAAACTAACAAGAAAAGAAAATGTAATTCTCAATGCCCTGGTAACTATGGTGACTGTTTCCCTGGAATGATTTCCAGTAGTCACTGCTAAAAACAGTTTTGAGAACTCTCGTAGCCAATGATGGAGACATAATGGATAGGGTGAAAAAAACATCTCCAAAATGTGTGCAATAGACTGAAGACTCCTGAGCCTACAGCAAGTCCAGGAGGGGCTTGGAGACTTCTCTAAAACCAAAGTGATATAAAGACAGAGCCAAAAACACTTTGGGAAATCTCTGGCAAGGGCTTCTTCAATTGGTGAGAAACAGATCACAGGTCACAGTCTCTTAACTAGCCTTCTGTCATCAAGACACACACACACACACACACACACACACACACACAAAAAGAGGTTCCAACACATTCCTGGAGGTCTGGCAAGATGGTTCAGCAGGCAAAGGCACTTGCTGCCTAGGTTGATGACCATAGTTTGATCCCCAGAACGCGTGTGGTGGAAGGGGAAGAATGACCGACTCTAGCAAGTTGGTCCCTGACTTCCACACACACGCTATGGCAAGAGCCCATTCACACCCACACATAAAATAAATGCTTCAATAAAAAAAGCTTAAAAAGCTAGGATTACCCTCTACTACACAGCCACATCCAAGGCCAGCATGGGATGAGACCCTATCTCAACAATAATACACAATATTAATTAGTTAATTAATTAATTCAAAAGAGAACATACCTATGTTGTTATTCCTCTCACGGAGAAGGTGGATATTCCTTGAAGACTTGAACACTTGGGCCAGTCAGATCTGAGCTTGTATTCAAATTCACCTAAAAGCTGAAGAGAAGCGGACGTAGGTTAGGCTGGAGAGAACAAGAAAGCACCCTTCCTTTTTGTGCTGTTTGGAGACAGGGTCTCTGATACACCGCACCGGCTGCCCTTCATGCCACTCCTCCTGCCTGGACTTCCCACGGGCTGGCATTACGGGTATGTGCCACCACACCTAGCCAATAACCCATTTTAATTGAAACATAAGCAGTCTACTTTTCTTTTGTCTGCATTTAAAGTCTTTAGGGGAAAGGGCAATTTCTTTAATTAACATGTCTGCCACGCTCTCGGACGCTCTCACAAACTGGCTGTGGGAAGGCTTTGTGACCTCACCAAGACCCAGAGCTCTCGCTGGCCCTGGAGGCAGGTTTCCTCCATGCTTCTTCTGACTACAGCAAACTCAAGCCTACTTTTCCTCTTCACCCCACAACACGATCCTGAACAGTGCTCACGGACAGGTGCCATCGCTGTTACAAACCCAGGCTTTGGAGCGAGACAGCACAGCGAGTGAGTCGCGCCCTCTCTCCAGGGTGTGTAGCAATGGAGGGGAAAATGGGAGCCTCGGGAAAATGGGAGCCACGGGAAAATGGGAGCCATGGGAAAATGGGAGCCACGGGAAGAGCACAAGGACAGGGTTCCAAAATACAAAGAATAGAGAGCTAAATACAGTGCTACCTGAAAGCCATTGAGAGAAGTGAACAAGGTAAGGAAGGTCACCAAGCACAGAAGACACTGGAGGCTGGTCCCAAGTCACAGGTATACGGGCAGTGCTGGGACCCGAGCCCCAGTAGTTTCTGATTCACCAGACTAAAACTGCTGAAGAAAATGAAAGGCAGGTGAAGGAGAGGCTCGCTAGCCATCACTGTGACCCTGTTCTCCTTGACATTTGTATGAGCTCTTCATATTCCAAGACAAATTAGCCACAGGGGCCAGGGTATGGTGAGGCAGGAACTGTGGAACAAGGTCCCCAGCCACATCACAGGCCACCTGGGCCCAGCAGGCCCAAAGGCTCAGCTGCAGGACGAAAACAAGACACAGCCCAGGCTCAAGAGCTAAGCTGCCAGGTTCCAAAGCTACAGAGAAATCCTGTCTCAAAACAACAACAACAACAACAAAAAGATCTAAGCTGCCAGTCCATGGCCTGGCTTTGCAAAGCAGCGGTGGTGAATGTCTCATTCTGTAGGTCAAGCTGGCCTTGAACTCTTGGCAGTCCTCCTGCTTCAGCCTTTTAAGTGCTAGGATTATAGATGTGAGTCACCAAGCCTGGCTTTGCCCGGCATTTTAGAGAAAAAAAAATTGTTTATTAATTGTCAAACATCAAATTGCAAGCAAAAATCTATACTTCTGTTTTTTTCTAAAAAAACAACAAAAACAAAAACTAAACAAACAAAAAAATCAAATCAGAAGATTTGGTAAAACAGAGTCTGCCATGGCAAAAGTGAATGAGGCTGAAGAGCAGCTGTCCCTGCAGACACAAGGCATTCTGGGACATGTCTGTGAAGCCTTTGATGCCAACCCCATCACCCCGGCTCGATTTAATCACTTCTGATACTTGAATCACCCCTATAATTATCTTCCAGAACGTGTAATCCTTGGAGGGGGGGAAGCTATCTAAAGTCTCTTCTAGCCTTGGGTAGGTCTGTACTGGCTGAATATTTAAAAATATCAAGTGTATGCACAAATGATAAAATCATAGAAAAGTTTTGAAAGGTAAACAAAGTCAAAGCTTATAGGATGTGCTGTGGTTTACTTTCCCATTCATCAATTAAAGCCTAAGTATGCCTAAACTTCCCATAAACACTTGAGGTAACTTTGACAAAGCCCTTTTACCTGAGATTGTCTTGTCGAGTAAACTGACATGCTCCCGGCTCCCTTGCAGCTAGGTGAGTCCACCTGACTAAATCCTGGCCAATTCTAAATGGTCTGGTTGTAAGAAAACTCCATAAAAGACAGTCAGCCCTCTGCCCTCTTCCCTTTTTGCCTCCCTGAAATGCAGACAATGTGGCTGAAATCCCAACAGGTGTTTTGGACCATGAAATAACCTTGGGGTAACTCTATAAGCCTATTGAAACCAGTAGCCTAGAAGGTGATTTAGGGGAGCCACCATATCAGACCTCGGTCATCTGACTCAGGATTTCTTCCATGTGAAAGGATAGTTTACACCACTGTTATTTCTAGGTGCTTTCACTATACAATTTCCAATGACACATAAAGAAATACTATATACCCACATCTCTGGGATGCTACAAGCATCAGTTGCCAGGTGTAAGGTGCTGCTACTTATAAGAGTGTTTTCATTTATTTTCAAAATTCACAACGACTTTAACTATTTTCTTACTAGAGAAAAAACTTGAGTGCTGGGGTGGAACTCAGTGGCATGACACTTCTAAAAAGTGCAAGGCATTGGGTTCATCGCTCGGCGCTTCAGGGAAGAAAGGAATTCACGAATGCATTCATGCTAGCTGGCTTCAAGACAGCAACTAACAAATAAAAAGTTAAAATCCAGTACAGGGAAAATAAACACAACGACAAACATAACGACTATGTATGTAAGTCCAGCTAGATCAACTCTGGGTTTTCTGCCCACCAGAGGAGAAAGAGAAACCCAGTCAGAGCAGTGGGTCGCCAAGTGGAAAGAGCTAGCCGAGCCTTCTGACCCCGCAGGTGCATGGCATGCACACAGTGGAAGGAGGGCCTTTCTGGCACAGAACTACTTTACAGATGTGCAGGACTCTATAGAGGGACTTTCATCGACAGACAGTGCCCTCCTACAGCTATTTTTAAATAGCATATGCAGCAAAGAATTAATTTCCTCAACCCTTGAAAAATGAAAAGGTTTTAAAATTCAATTCTGGGCAGACATTTCCATGGATGGTTTACAATTATGAAGACCCTAATTCACAGCCTTGGCCCAAGGCTTGAATTTGAGGGTCCTGGGCAGCAAGCCAGTTCTGTGTGCCTCTAGGGAGTGCACCCTTAAAACCTAGCAGGCTTAAGTAGACGACTACTGGGTGGGTGCTCTGCATGGCATGGAACCACCTGCATACAACCTGGGGGAAACAAGCCAGGATTCTATGCACTTTAGGATCTTGGAGATGAGAATACTTAAGCAAGGAAAGGCCTGGAACAGCTACATCCAGAACTGGACCTCAGTGCATCAAGTCTAGGACTTTAAAAGTGGGTGTGTGTGCACAGTAAATACCTACCTACTTAACAGTCTATGTAGGTATTAAACTAGGAATCATCGGGCAATTCCAAAACAAAGCTCTTCACATGCATTTTGTCTCACCTCTATTTTATTTTATGGTGGTAACTCTTTCCGTTTTTCTTTTTTACAAATCTGACCTGGCACTTAACATTAAACGTTCTGAATGTGCCAAATTTCATGATCTTGGCAGCCAAGTAAGGTCAGGCCTGGTCATTACTCAGACGGAAGACATACCAAACTCAACACCTTGAGCTATTTTGAGTGCTCCCCGCTCTCCATATTCTAGGCAGATGAAATCCAGTAGAAACTGGTCCTACGCAGTCTTAGATGAGGGAAACAAGTCACAGAAGGGTTGGGGAGTCTTCAGGAAGGGAGCCAGCCTTTCCCCTTCTGTTTCCATCGAGTTGGGCTTCTCATGTGCCTATAGCACTCTTTTCTCTGTGGGTTACCCTACACGCCAGTTCTGCTACTTTATGAATAAATGTTGGTGCTGTAGCTGATAGTTAGTGTTCTATTTCTCATCCATATAGCGTCCAAAAGACAATATAGGGTGCTGCCAAATGTCCAGCATGGGGTCATTAGAGGCGCTCTCAGCGGTACTGCGGGACTCTAAGACGGGCTTGGCTGGTATTTCCACCTATGCTGCAGGCCTAGGCGGTGCCTCCCACGCTTCCACTGCTCTCCCACGGCCAAGGGTATCACTTAGGACAGAGGCCCCTGCATGGGACCTGGGACCTGGAACCTGTTCGGCCTGGTTATCTTGAAAGAGGTACTTCGCTTTTCAGGCCCTAAGGATCTCAGCTGTAAAATGAGAGGCTTGGGATTGGAGTAGAAAACTCTTTCAGCTTGAAACGTCTGAGATTCTAGGGATACAACCACAGTTGTTGGCTAAAAGCTGGGGGGGGGGGCAACGACAACTCTCTCTGTTATTTGTGACAGAATGCAGCCCCTACCTTCCTGCCTCAGACCGCACACAATAAAATCCAAAGACCTCAAGGCCTTTGTTCTTTCTTCAAATAAAGTTCTATATTTTCCGCTGTGTAATTCATACCAATAATTCCATACTATTACTCCAGTAAGTGTCTCAAAAACATCGACTATTATCATCATCACTACTAAATTCTCTTCCATTTTTACCTCAGTATGCTTCTTAATCTGGCACCCAGAAATCACACAAAAGCCACCTGGCTAATGAACACAGGGGCCTCATCAAGCTATGAAACGGCCAGCGGAAGAGCTGCTGGGACTGTCTCCAACAAGATGAAAATGGGTCCCAGGACACTCTCTCCCAGAGTCCTCCACAGAGGAACCCTACTAGAGTTAACACATCACTGGATCATGGATGGTGATCTTCAAGTTCCCCCAAAGGGCTCCGAGAAGCTGGGCATGGTGGTACCCACGGGGGTACCAGGACTTAGTGGGATGGAGGCAGGACTGTGGGCACGCTCCTGCCCCTTATATCTACCTCCCCTTGCCAGGAAGTCCATTCTTCTCCCCGCTCTGAATCACAACTCTAGGCCAGCACACAGAAGGCCTCTGGCTACTGAAGGTGTTCAGGGGTCAAGGAACAACACTCTGCCACAAAAATATGGCCTATGTTCACTCCATGTCACCCTGATGTGGCAAAAAAGAACAAAAAAGAGCAGTCAACCCTAGAGTGGGCAGCACAAGACCTTTGAAGAGAATGAAAAAGAGCCAGTTCCTGCCACTTCACTGAGAAGTCAGAGCTGTCATATGCCATAAGAGCTAAGTGATAAACCCAGGAGAGGATGGACAGGAGAAAGTTCAGTGTCCACTCAAGATGTGTCTTGGCACCCTGGAGTTATTTACCACCAGTATAAGTTACTTATCCATTGCTGTGCCAATATCATGACCAGAGTGTTTGGCTCACTGCTCCAGAAAGCTAGAGTCCATGGCGGCGGGCAGAAGTGGCAGCAGGAGGCTAAGGGCCACATCTTGAACATCGAGCAGGAAGCAGACATAGAACAGGATCGGCTCCAGGTTTTCACACCTCAGAGTCCATCCCTAGTGGCACACTTATCCAGCAAGGCCCCACCTCCTAAACCTCCCTAAACGGTGCCATTAACTGGACCAAGTACTCAAACCCCTGAGCCTATGGGGGGCATTTCCGTTCAAGTCATCACACTCCCATAGACGGGAGACTTTTGGAGGAAATTCCGAGAGGTTTTGAGACTCGGCCTCATCTACTGAGAACTGGGCAATCCCCGACAACCTGGGTCCCACTCTGGGGCTAATCCTCCTGATGGTTGAACATCTGAGCCAGCAGTTCACAGAACAGGTCCACATGATCTAGATCTTTCTCCCTCAGAGTTTGGGGAAGATGCAGGGTTCTACTCACGCGCTATGGGCTTTGAAAGACCCTCCTCTGGACCACCGCTACTTCAGACTCCCAAGTGATGAGATAGCCCGGCAACGGCACCAATCCCCATTTCAAAAGATACCAAGAGACATTTATTTTTTTCAGCATCAGCACGAGTAACTAGCTCTTTCCCTTGGCCAACTGCTGCCGCTGACTCTTGGGGCCACCCAGGGAGATCAGAGCGGGTTTCTCATGCTGAAGTTGCTTGAGCTACAGCTCAGAAGACTCCTCAGGAGTCAGCCACAGAGACACACATGCAACCCCCGGGCTCTGGAAGCAGCGGGATCTTATTTGCAGCCAGCCAGAGCTATAGAGTAAGATGTCTCAAAACCTAAATCAGACCCAAACAAAAACCCAATAAAGACACACACACACACACACACACACACACACACACCCTTACTCTTACTGACTTAGAGTGACATCTCTTATAAATTAGATCCTGCAAGATGAAAGGCTGTACAAACAAGGTCACACATAATTTGATTAAGTAGAAGACATGGTAGATAATTAAATATATTTATGTTAATGTTGCCTTCAATTTCATTAAAAATTTAGACCTTGAAATTCTCTTTTTTTTGTGCCAACTCATTCAGGTGATAGTAGTTTTATTTAACTGAATTCTTTTACCAAGTCGTAAGAGCATAACCTACTGAAGTTTCCAGAAATTGCTTCTGAGTTCCCAGTCAAAAACAAGACCTGGGACTGGAGAGATGCCCAGCAGTGAAGGCCATTTGTTCAGTTCAGGACTCGGGTTCAGCTCCCAGCACCCACATGGAGGCTCACAAGCATCCACAACTCCAGTACCAGGGTATCTGATGCCTTTTCTGACTTCTATGGGTACCAGGCATGGACGGAGTACAAATACATATATGTGGGCAAAGCACTCGTACAAAGAAAATAAAATAAACTTCAAAAGGAATTCTTTTAAGAAAAAGCAAGAACCTGAAGACTTCACACCGAAATGTCAGGAATGGCTACTAACCCACCAGCTTTCACAAAAGAAGCTCACTAAACTAAAAATAACAGAAGGCTGAGTCACCAGTTAAACACGAACATTTAATTGGGCACTTCGCATTTACAGAAATGCTGAAGAGATGCTGGTCTCTCCCGCTTGCAAAGAAGGCAAAGCAGCTGGGGGAAGGGGAATATGCCATGCCCTAGAGAAGGATGGAGAAACGCCTAGAATCTGCCCCTCTCCGACTCAGAAATGTTCTCTACCATAAAGAAACCAACCCATGCTGAACAGGAACAAACAAACAAAACAAAAGCCAGCTGTTCCCTCTAGAGATTCCAGAATCTTCAAAGAGGACATTTCTAAGAAAATATTTTAATAGGAGATTCCATGGCTCCAAATACTGTGTTTTAAAAAACCTATACTAAAATTAAACTCTAATATCAAGCAAATTCCTTGTTTATCAGAACCTGACAAACTCCACTGCCTCATCTGCTGCAAGGACAGGCCTACACCTACCACCCTCCCTCCCATCTTCTTCTTTTTGGGCATGGGGGAGGGGTGGGGTGGGGAGGTGGTTTCTAGACAGGGTTTCTCTGTATAACAGTCCTGGCTGTCCTGGAATTTCCTTTGTAGACCAGACTGGCCTCGAACTCACAGAGATTCTCTTGCCTCTGCCTTCAGAGTGCTGGGATTAAAGGCATGAGCCACCACTGCCCTCCCTCTTGTTTCTCCTTTCCTTCTGGACAGCGTCTCATGCATTCTAGACCAACCCAGAAGCAGCCAAGCATAACCTCAAATTCCTGATCCTATGGCCCCCACCTCTCAAGTGCTGGGATTACAGGCACGTGTCATGTGCCCTGTTTTACATGGTAGGGATCAAACCCCAGGGCTTCATGCGCGCTAGGCGAGCATTTCATCCCCAGGCCCATCTGCTGGATTTTTTCCGAGAAGAGTCCAAGTGAAGAGAACAGCTCCGGATCTGCAGCACAAAGAAACTCAGGGCATGTCCCGGGAGCCACACAGACCTGCCGCTCTGCAGACAAGCTCCTAGAAAGGAGGGATGGAGGATGCAGTGGGAGCCAGTGGGAGCATGGCTATCAAGCTGCCAATCTTGCATCTCACCACGGTAAGCATCAAACGGTAGATCCGCATGGGGATCTGACCCACGTGCCAAGCCCTTCACCTCCCCACACGGAAAACTGACTCATCCCATCTCCCGACCTACTGGAGCTGAGCTCACGCATCCTCCTGCCCCTCTCAGCTCTGTGGCTCTTACGATGAATTCTATCAGCTGTGAGAGCAATGGCTCTCTTCAGCGCCGTACCACTGGGCCCTTAATGCAAGGCTAGTCAGTGATGACAGCCCCAGCATCTTCATCCTTCTGAGACCGACAGAAGGCTCTGAGGGCGAGAGAATGCAGCGTGCGCAGCACTGGAAGGCACGCTTTATTTCTTCGAGTTGTAAAAGCACCTTGGAAGCTAGGAGCAGGAACAAGAGCCTCTGCCAGCTCACAGCAGCAGGCTTGGAGGTCACATGGGCTCCACTGAGACCCAGTCTCAGATAACAGGCGTGAGCAGCCAACACAGATAAGTACCCACCAGTGATTGTCACTGAGGCCCCTGGGCTAAAAATGAAGGAAGGGGGAGTGTGGGAGAGACACTCATAGCCTCCCCTCTCAGTACTGTGGATTCTGAGAACTGAACCGTCCAGGGCACAACCCAAGTGGTAAGACCCAGAAGGGCTAGTCTGGTGTCTGGGGCCGGAGGTAGGGGTTAGGAGTGGGGGTGGGGGAGAAGGTATCATGCATATCCTCTATACTTCTACCAAAGACATCTGGAGTGCCTCTCCCTGGAACATTGCTGTATGTCCCGGGCAGCTTTGGGTGGGCCTCTTACTCTCTGCAGATTTTGAGACAACTCAAGGGTCCACACGATCTATCCGATCAACAGAGGTTTTTAGAATCAGAGGCCCTGGGGTCTGAATCCTGATTCTGCCAAGGAATCTTATGGGAAATCATATAAACCTCATGTTAATTTTGTCTAAAAATGAAGGAAGGAACACAGGTTCCTTCACAGGCTGAAGAGGGAAAGAAGCTGAGCTATGGAACTCAAGGGTTAAGGGGTTAAGGGGCCTTAAAATTATAAAATATCTACAGACATACAAAAGGTTCACAGAACATTTTAAGCTCCTTAAAGGAAAGCTGCTTCATACTCCAGGGTTAGAGAAACAGGAATCTGAAAGCAACTCTAAGGGGCTTTTAGCACACGTGGCCAGGCATCTGACGCCAGGCAGTCCCGAGCTTGGCTTTATCAGATTTTTGCATGGAGGATACTGAACAATCTAGAAAAATAAAAATTCAAAAGGAAGCACACTGGGTTGGTATATTTTGGGGTTGGAGCTAAATGAACCGCTTTGCCAAGTAAAGAAATAGAAGTAAGTTCACACCCTCAAATGTTCCTGTCTCCCCATCCATCCAATACAAACACCCTACTGTTGTTCTGGGCCTCGCTCTCTCTTGCCTCCCACTCTAGAAGCAAAACTTCTCAGCCTTTTTGAAGCCCGAGGGCGAGTCCCAGCTGCCACCCTTGGTCTGCCAGAGGCCTTCCTCTTTCGACTTTTGTCCAAATTCCCTTTTGCCTATAACGAACAGACGGTTTCTCTAAGTCCGTTCCCGACCTTCCTCTGTGAAATCCACTGCAGGGAGCAGCAGACAGGCCCCTGCTGGAGCTCTTTCTCTGCTGGGCCTTCCCAACACATAAATGTTGCCACTTCTTCAGTGTCCTGGGAGGCTAGAGGGCGGCCAGCGAGGGAGACGATTTCCACAGAAGTAGGGCGAATCCTTCCCCACAAGCGGGAAGAGGACACAAGCATTTCCCAAAAATTAATCCACCTGCTTGAAGTGGCCAAGGCAGAGTGTCCTTGGCAAATGAAATGGGCAGAGTCTCCTGGAGACGTGTTCGTATCAACTGTGAGAAGTGTTCGTGCCAGCTCCAGGAGGGAACGCTTTATAAACGCCACCCTAATCCCGCTGTATCAGAGGCCTCAGCCTCAGTCTTCCCTCAGTGGCTACAACACAAGAAGTATAATCCACAGATCTGTAGAGCAGTGGACAGCGCTACCCATGGAGGAGTACGTACTGAATCCTGAAGCTCAACAACAAACCCTGGAGGAAGCCAAAGAGGAAGCAGAGGGAGAGAAAGAGATGACATCACAGTGGGGGACCCTTGAGGAGAGACGGAACAGAAGGGGGTGAGAAGCGGAGTGTGTACAGACATTGGACATTGCGGTCACAAGCTAAGCTGAGGCCTCAGAGTGTGAGGCCGACAGAACCAGAGGGATGGCTCTGGAGTGGGGACCATGAGTCACCGTGGAATGACGTTGCAGCACTCTGTTTAAAAGGGGAATTCCAGGAGTCAGGCTGGAAGATGGTGCCACAGAAATGTGGTCATGGCAGTGGGTAATGTGCCGTGGATAGCCTACTGCTCATGTGAGGGACTGACGTAAGGCTGGAGGTGTGAAGAACATTTGCTTGGCTGCTGGAACCAGACTCTCAGCTCTGCTGGGACATATATGGTCACTCACCACTGGGGCCACAACGACAGTCTTCAGTGGCATAGAACTCATTTTGTAGGAATTTCTGTATGGGGGCCTATCTCCTGTAGACTCTAAGACCCCAGCGGCCCACCTTCACGTGTAAATGCCCGCTCATGACCAGAAAATTTGCTGGTCTCATCTCTTCATAAGAGTGATGAGTTATCGCATGAATCTCCGTGCTGGGGACGCCGGCCAGTGTCCTCTAACGAGATCTTCCTATTGACAGTCTACACAGATGGACACTCGGGGTGTTGAGCGCATAGCAGACATCTTGTAAACAGATCGAGCCGGCAGGAAAGACTCCATTAGCCTGAAGTGCCACCACTGTGATCCCTTAAACAGAATTTTCTTGCCAGTGTGCTCCATTAGGTTCAGAGGTGGGCAGCTAGCTGCCTTGCTGCTGTGCGCTGAGAGAAAACTCACTGTGACCTGGACTGGCGGCAGCTTTTGGGTATTTTAAAGGCCACCTTGAAGAGCTGGCCAAACATTTCTCCATCCAAAATGGAGGTTTTCAATTTTCTGTCATTCAGAGAAGCTACTGTCCAAGGCCGTATCTCTCCTACTCTCTTCTCTGTGCGACTGAAGAACATCTCAGTAGGCCAAAATGGAAGCACTCTACTTCAGATCGGGCTGCCTCACAAACCAAGATAACTCACAGCGGAAACAAGTGGTTGTAGGCAGAAGGAAGGAGACAGAGCTGGGAACCTCTCCGTGGGCCGGAAGAAGCTGACACCCACTGCAGATCTCTAGAAGGCAAGCCGTCCACAGCTCTGGTGACACTGCAGAGGCCACAGAGGTCTCTAGTGTCTTCTAGGGAGCATAAGCTCATTTGAATAGCACTAATCCTAGGTTAATCTAGACCAAGATTATAAAATGAGCTTCCTTCTTAGCATCGGAGGGAAATAGAGTCCTTTAGAATAACTGGTGTCCTGCAAAGACTTCCACCTCCTCAGAGATTTCCTGATTTGTAGTGCTGGCAGGGGAGGAAGCTACTCCTGGGCTCTCGGGGAAGACAGATTCTGCCTGATGTGCAGCTGTATTGCACACTACTTGTATGACCTTGGACACGTTTCTTAACCTCTTGGCAGCCCATTAAAAGGATCTAATAGGACCTTCTTTAAAGAGTCACTGAGAGGCTTAAGTGAGGTGGGCAGGGTCGAACTCCCTATGCCAGAGTATCCTGCTATTATGAGTTTAAATATACAAACACTATGCAAACTTGGCAAAGGTGTGCTCCTCAGAGAAGGCAAAGAAGGACTTGCTGTACCCAAGACCAGAGGCCCTCCTTCCAGAACCAAACAACAGCTCTTTCAGCTTGGCTAGTGGGCTGTCTGATCTGCCTGTGAGCCATCACCACCCTCCCACCCTCAACATTACCAGGTACCAAGGCAATGATTGGATCACTTGTATATATGACTATGCCCCACGCACATGCACACACGCACACACACACCACATACATACATACATATACATACATACACCACACATACACATACATACATACCACCCCACACACATACATACCACCCACGATGCTCCACATACATACCACATACACATACCATACACACATACATACTATCACACACACACACACACACACAGACATTTGAGTGCACAGACCTTCCATTATTGCAGACCATTATTGCTCCATCACCCACCCAGGCTTGTCCTGGGATCCAACATCACATCTGGCTCTGACATCATTATCTTTAACACACTAGACCTTAAACGAGGAACAGAACTGGGTGATGGGAAGTGTTCTACTTGGGTAGCTCCATGGTTTATCAAATGTTGGTGATGCTAACACATGACCTCAATTACTCCTCAAACAAGGCGCAAAGTGCATGTGTGTTGACAGCAGAGGCCAACTTCATAATTTACTACTTACAAAGTGTACGCTCAGATGTTACCTCGTTTGGTACTTGCAGCAGCTTTGAGCATTATGTACATAAGCAAGGAAACTGAGGTCCAGGGACCCCTCCCTTTGCTAGGCTCTAGGAACATGGAAGGGGGTGGCAGTTCCCCTGTTAGAGCTGAATGGAGCCCACCACTTCAACCCCCTTGACAGGAGTTCTTTCCCATTCGAAGACAGACATGAAGACATCTGCATTCCTCGTATGAGCCCTACGGTGACAACGTCGGTGCCACACCCACCTGCCTCTGTCCAGGCTGAAATAACCTGTGATGGATGGCATTAATGACACCCCAAAGGAAGGGGCTGTTTCCTAATCTGGAAAAATATCCTTGGCCATCTCTTCTCCTTGGCATTTTCCATTGTCTCACTGATCAGAAGGACACATTTTTTTCAGTGGCATTGACAAGAATGAGAGATCACTTTATGGACACTTCAGGCCTGAAGAGGGAATTGCAGCCAGAATATTTGGAAGCTGAAGTTTACAGTATGAATACAGTCCACCCCCCCCCCCAAGGGAGTGTGGAGCCAGGAA